CCGCCGGCCCCCCCCCCCCCCCCCCCCGCCGCCGGGGAAGAGCTCCTGAGGCGGCAGCGGCTGCGGATTCCGCGCCGCCCTTCATGGTGAGGGGGCCGGGGCGGCCGGGCCCTCAGAGGGGGTCCGGCCGGGGAGGGGTGGGGGTGTCTGAGCCCCCGGGGATAATGCCCCGGGCGCCTTCCCCGCCGCCTCAGTAACGAGGAGGACCTCCTGCCTTGGGGTGGTTCTTCCCGCGGCGAGGGAAAGCGGGAACTATCAGGCGACTATAAATATATAACGGAAAACGTGCTTGGTACCGGGGCAGGCGTTGGGGCGGGGGTGGTGCCACCCCTGGGGGTTTTCCAGCCCCACCTGGGTGTAAAGCCCTGCTCTGACCTCAGAGCTGATCCTGCTTCGAGCAGGAGACTGGCCCCAGACTGGTCCCTGCCAGCCTGAGGTAGCCACAGATTCTTTGAGAAGCCTCCAGAGATGGCAGCAGAAGTTACTTAAACTTCTGACATAAACCTTGTTGCTAGGGAAAGCTGGGTGACAGCATTTGAGTTTCACTTGTGGTGATTCAAAAGCTCTGTGTAAGTTCTCGGTGGGTGCTGTAGCCCACGCGCAGGTTTGGTTGTCAGGAGAGTTTAACCCTTCCTTGGAAAGAAGAGGATTAAAACACCCAGCAGTGTCTGGAGTTGCTCATAGCTAGACGCTGGGGGATCCTGGTCCTTCAGAAAACTCGCTTCCTCATCAAGGGAAGTATGGCTGTGTCTTCCCCTCTGTAATTTTCATAACTCTGACGTGATACACAGGTGTGATTAGTCTTAAACGCATACTGCTTAACAACAGATGTAGTATTATTGGTTTTATTTAGAGTAGGTTATTACACGAACCTTGGCAAGCTGACAAATTAATCAATCAGCTTTAAAGAGTGATCTAATTTCTAGTCTAGCAGAAGTATTGTACAAAATCCTGCTCTCCTGCATTGCAAGTAACACTTTACTTGTCACACTTGTTCTTACATAGCAAATTGTCAAGGAGTGTTACCATAAGGTTAGCTAACTAAGCCTGATATACCACCACTTCGTCACTCCCTGGCAGACGTTAGTCCTTTGGGGATCCCTCCTCGCTCGCTCTCATTTCTTCAAGTCCCCCAGGTACCACCAGGCAAGAAGCTGCTCCTGCTGTAGGTGACTCCCAGTTCTGTGCGTGTTACTGGTCAGCCAGCCAGCACACAGGTATCTGCTGGGCAGGCAGTGACCACATTGCAACACGGGTCTGTGTGGTGCTGGGTTTCCTTCAGCATGAGCGCCAATTTGGATGCATCTCTTCAGCCTGCAAAACTGTATAAACCTAGAACCTCAACATTTCTGTCAAGTGTTACAGCATTTGTTGATGATGGCAGAATTTAGGGAGGGTGAGGGGTTTGGGAGGGGACGTACAGGTACTCTGGAAGTGTTCAAACCTTGTTTCCTTAGGAAACTGGTTAAAAATTGCAGTTAGAATTTGAAGGTTTGTAACTGTTTGAGTAAGGCCATTGTGTAATTGTAGAAAACATTTCCATTGTTTAAACCAACTTTCATCATCAATATGTAAGGAATTACAATCTCAGTCCTTCCCTTATCCTATGCTTGTCAGAGAAAGGCAGGACACACCGACTTTTGTTGTCTGGATTCATACATTTGATGTGTTTGAACCTGCGTGTTGCCTTAAATCAAAAGGAAGAGGGTGTTCAGAAATTGGCACCTTTTCCTATTAGTGGTCATTTATTATTTCTGTATCAGGTGTCCCTCGTCCATCAATGATGAAGTGACTTCAATTTCTGCACAGACCACACTGTCCAGAAGACCTAAAAGCTTTAGAATAACTGTAAGTAATTTTACCTAGGCTGACAAAATCCTTTCTGCCAAAATCAGATTAGTGCTGCTGGTGAATTTTTGTAAGATTTGCCATTGCATTATACCATTACCTCAGCCGAAGCATCAGGCTCAAAGGTGATGACTTTAACCTTGTGTCTCTAGGCTTTTTCGTGTTGTGTTAGATATTGGTTAAGGTTATGCTTTTTTCTGAAGATCAAAGAAATGCTGTGATCCAAAAGCTTTAAAGCATTTGGTTAACTTCAAAAAGACACTTAAACACATATGAAAGAGTTCACAGGTTCAGGGTTCTAGGATGGAAGGATCTGATGGTTTCCCATTGATTTTTCTTAACTACACTGTTAAATTAATGCTCCTCTTCTCCCCGCTTCGAATTTCTCTTCATAATCAGATTGAGTTGGTTACTGGAACCCTTGATTTGCTCACTTGCTCTAAGGCTTTGAACTCCAATGACTCTTACAGACAGCTGCTATCAATCCAACTGTATTTGGTCTTTAGTAACCATGTTAAAAGCAGAAAATACCAAAAGCAGAGAAATTATTTGTATTAATCCTAGCTTTACAGCAAAATAGTGTGCAATTAAAAATGGCAGATGCTACTAAAAGAACGCTCAAACTTTCTGGCCATTGTTGCTCTCTGGCACAGAGGGAAATGTTGTTATTTCCAGTTTCCTTATTCACAGGTTTCCTTTCATTGTATTGCCCTTTCCCGTTTGTGGGAGAAGAGCCATGAAGAACCGTTCCTCATCTCCCCCTTTGCACGTCCATGTGGATGAAAACACCCCTGTCCATGTCCATATTAAAAAGGGTCAGAAAACCACACCTGCAAAATGCCAGGTAGGAGTGTGTAGCTGGGTGTTTGGAAGGGCTACAAAGAGGAAGGTGAACGGTCCTAGAAGCACCACAAAATCTTCAAGGTCTGTTTTACCATTGTATTAGAACTGCAAGACTTGAATTCGTATTCAGTGGTGAATTTTCGGTAACACATCTTCTGTGTTTAAGATGATTTAAGTAAGATATAGAATATATAGTTACTTTTCATGTTCAAGTGTGTGATTGTGAGGAGCGTTGCTTCCAATGTGATATGGTTTGGGGGATTTTTTTTTTTTCCTTTTATTTCCTGGATTTGTGTCCTGATAACGGTTTTTCTTTGGCTTCATCCCTATTTTTGTAGGAAAGGTTTGGGGAAAGGTAATATCTAGGCGTTTCAAATTCCATCTTGATTGTATTAAAATAAATGTGTTTAGAAAAAAAGAGTCTGGATTCAAACCATCTTCTGGCATTAAACACCTTCTCAGTCCGCTGAGCTATGCAGCAAAGAGGATCTCTGCATAGCCTTATCCACAGTAGGTAGAAGGCAATACTGAAGTTGAGTTTCTAGATATTTCATGTCCTCTTTTGTAGCTGGATGTTTATGTAAAGTTGTTCTCAAAAGGCGATGGAAGTTGCTAGCTCATTCTTCCTTTCATGCAGACATCCTGTTCTAAGTCCTCTGTTAATTTTGTGTTTGTTGCTAATGGCAAATATCATAATGGGGTAGGGCCTGACAGTGAAATCAATGACTCCTATTAATTAATTGCCTGTAGGGAATATTTAGAATATCTGATATTTCTTTAAGGTTAGAATTGTGCAAAAGCACTTTACCTTTCCTTCAGTTAGAGCACCTCAAGTTCAATACAAATAAGTGTGGATCTATTAGTTAACTGCAAAGCAGGGAAAACACTTCAGGGGCTTTTCATAACCAATCACGCCGCACTGTTCTTTTTTGTGTGGTAGTGCTGTTGTCAAATGGTATAGCTGTTCTTTTGTGAGATGAACGTGGAATGGAGAAGGGATCTCCCAGGTTGTTCCTTCTTTATGTGAATGGGTTGTATTGCGGTATTTTTTTGTGTATCTCCATACAGAGGAGACTTCCTTCCCACCCACCCCAATCTCCCACCCTGGCCTGCTGGGTAAGGCTCTCATCACATCACAAGTGCAGGTATCCCAGGGATATAACAGAGTTGCTCCGTGATAGACAAGAATGTACTACATCTAGCCATCCTGTCAACCGAATGGGCAATAACCTTTCCTTCTGACTGGGGTTGGCCTCCTCTGATGGCTGCTGGCTCGTCTGATCTGACGTATCATGTGAAACACTGATATTTTTGTATGAATGAACTTTCATTTGGTTTTGCAGCACCAAAAATTGTACATGGTTCTTTAAAAGTCTGTGATTTATTTTATTTTCTCTTTCTTTAGCAAAAGCACAAACAGAAAATGAAAGGGGATACCGTGAACATGTGTCGAGCTGTCCGGGTGAAAACTAAGGCCCCCTGGATGCCCCCAGGCAAAACATCTGTCCGGGAGTCCGCCTGCAAATGGGAGGTATGGCTGATTTTGCTCTTTAAAACATTCAGGTTTATCTGAGGTTGAAGAGAGCAGTTGTGTAATGAGGGAGCTGGGCTGATCTGAAAGAAGGCTACTGTCACCTACCATCCATTTTAAGTGTCTTCTATAAATCTTTTTCACTTTTTAATAGAAAAAATGGAAATTAATTAGCAGCCTGTGGTCATATCATGCCTTTCTGCCTCTAGAAGCCAGACAAATGTCTTTGTTTATTGTAGTTTTACTAGTCCCCTTCAAGACCTCATCTGAGATGAGGCACAGCGAAGGGCTGCTGTTCTTAGTCTCTTCCGAAGCATGGAGCGTTTGTGTAGTATTGTGTAATGTTCTCTTTCTCATGGGTTGATAGTTTTGCCTTTTGTATTCCTCGCTCTTCCTAAACGAGAATTTGAACTTTCTTTTTTTTTTTTTTTTGTTTCTGTTCTAGTCTTTCTGCATTCTTGACCTTTCCCTGATGGAAATGAAAGAGCTGTTTACAGATGTTTTTTCCTTACTAGCCTTATTGCAGTGATGCGACCTGGTCTTTGTTTTGGCAGAGTTAGGCTTAGAATACTGTTTATAACTTTATGCTAAAAAAGTGGTGCCCTTTATTGCTTTTCTACCAGGGACCAACTCACCGCCTAGAAATTACACCTCCAGATTCAGAAAAAATGCTATCAGCATTGCGCCTGAGTGACCTCTCTACAGATGAGGAGGATGCTGTTTACTGCAAAATGAACGAATATGAAAAGAAGATAGATAGCCTGATGAATGTGGTGGGAACGCTGAAGAATGAGGTGAGGAGACAGCGTAAAGCCCTGCTGACTCGGGCTTTGTAGCTGATCGTTTGGCAAGAGGAGGCTGGAGTCAAGTCTTGTTGCAATGGAAGACTACCCAGGCCTCTGATTTTTTTTTTTTTTTTTTTTAAGCAAGCTAACCAATCTGAGTTGTTTAGAAGAGCTGAACTATCCTGGGGAGAAATGCACTAAGCCCTACTATGAAACGTTTTAAAACATTATCCATTTAATACGGTATTGCTGTGCTTCAGTTTCCAAATAATCTGTTTTCTGCCCAAGTCCTGAATCTGAAAACTGGTCCTTCCAGAAGGTGAAAAATACAGTATATTGATATTTTATTGTCAAAGAATCCACTTACTCAACAAGATTGTTTCTTCTGATTCTGTTTCAAAATGTGCAACCCAGTGATGTTGTGTTTTCCAGATAAATAGCCTCTTATGTACTTGACACCATTTAATAAATGGGTAGGAGATGTTTCTAGATTTCATAAGATGCTCTATTGTGGGGCAAACTGCATTTTTAACTTTAACGCTGAGGGTGGCAAATCTGATATTCTTATTATCACTCAAAACTACATGAAGTTCAAATCAGTGAACAAGAATAGGATTTGAGTCAAGTAGATTCTTATATTAAGTGTTTTCCATTTTATTTCTGCTACAAAATTTCATGGAATTACTTGCATGATTGTAAAACAAAAATCTGTTTTGATACTTTGAATAAGTTCATTGAATCTAAATATTTGATGGTGTCACTTAAATAAATCCGTGGTGTAAGATCCCATTAATTTTGCTAGCTTTAATTCTGTACAAGCGAGGGAATCTCCAGTGACCTTTTTTGCTGCAAAAAGAAACAAGTCTGGTACAGTAGTTCAACCCCTGCTCTGTGTTCTCTCTTCTTGCACATCTCAACTGTTTGTAGTGCTCTTAAGTGCCAAATGAGATGCACGTGTCGTTCATGAGGAGCAGTAGTTAACTTCTGAGCCCCATTCAGCTCTTGAGTAGCCTGTACACAACTCCAGTCACACTACCTGCAGTGACGCTGAGCTGCCACAGAACCACCTGGGTAATCCAAAATGGGTAGATGGAAACAAAATGCCAGGGGCTATTTAGGTTGATTGCACCCAGTTCCCTGGATCTCGCAAAGCAATAGCGGAGCAATGGGAGCCATCTCCCGTGTGTGAACTGCTACCAGAGCTCCTTTCCTGTCATGTTTGCGGTCTGTCTCATGGCTGATGACGATTTTTGGACTTAGAACCAGGGTGCTTGTGTCTCCCTGTGTTTGTGGGATGGGAGGTATTTCCAGGCAATAAGTGAATTATGCCCTTTGTGCACAGGAACAGCCTGGAAGTACGTAGGCAAAAAAAAAGAGAGCATGGTCCTTTGTTTGGTGCAGCTGAACAGCTGGTTCGCTGGTTTGAGATGTGGATTCTGTGTATCACTTTAAAAGCACCTGGTTTGTCTGAAGTTCTATTTAAATATCTTCATCAGGCCAAGCTGCAGAAAAAGGAGGAACAGCAGCAAATGACAAAGCGTCTCCTTGAGGAGCAGAAAGAAGAACTGAATGAGGTCACGCAAGAGCTGGTAGAAACAGAACATGAGAATACACTGCTCAGGCGCAATATTGAGCGCATAAAGGAAGAGAAAGATCTGACTGTGTAAGAAAGCTCCAGTTCTCCATTGCTACTGCAAGTGGTGGTATTTACAGGCACCTACCTCCTTTATTGCTAACGTTATTTGAGGTTGTAGTTTGTACCCTGGGTTGCAGTGCTGCTGAAGAACTGATGTTCTTGGATTTTTTGTCACCTTTTAGAAGGGGGACAGATGGCAATAGCTGCAGAAAAGTGCTCTAGCATGATTATTGGAATGGAGAAAACTACTCTGAGAGGAACCTGGGGGCAGTTGGCTTGTGTGGCCTACTGGAGGGTCATCCTAGCTCTACCGTTAATATTTTGAAGGTTAAGAGATGCTGTTTGAATTGTGATGATATTGGTAGAACAACAAATGAATAAACATGGAGCTGAAAACTAGAGGAGAATTTTTGGGCTTTGTGAAAATCATAGTGAGACAGGAGTGACAGCCCCTGAGAGGACTGAATTGTGGTTTTTCTTAGTGACCCCAAAAGTCTCCAAGTCTGATGTTTTTGCATCTGCTTTGTATCTAAAGAATTAAGGAAGTTTGTGTCTCCAGGGGAACCCTCGTGTTTTAAGAGAGTTAGTTTTATTTTTTCCTTAAGAAAGGTCACTTGGAAGTTAATACCGCGTATTCCTTTTTCAGAAAACTTTGTGAATACTTCTGAGATTGCAAGCCCTGGCTAAAAACTTGGAGCTGTATATCTTGATGTGCTTTCCTGTTTCATGTTCAGCCATTTGGAGTCATTTCTGGTGTGGCTTAAGTGCCCAGGAAAAGCATAGCATTGTCTTTTGGGTTTAATAGTGTGTGCAGGCTTTGGTATAAGCCCAATTTGTCCCTTCTAAATTCCCGTTTCATAGCTATGGTCCTAGCAAGCTCCTGGTGTCTACTTCCTGGCTTCTATCTTCAACTTCCACACTGAAAGAGGGTAAATCTTAAGTAGTGTTTGTTTAGAGCTTTTATCCTCTGATTCGAAGGGTTTTATGAGTTTTTATGAATTTTAACCCAATCAACTGCATATCAATAGTGGCAGGTGCAGCTGGCAAAGCTTCTTGTTTCTCTGATGGCTGAATTCTTGTTACAGGCTACAGAAAAAGTACTTGCAGCATCAAGAGTGAGGCAGAAAGGGATGGAGCAGCAGCAGCCAGGCAGATCCATGCCCTGAAAAATACAATTGGGAGACTCAACATTGTAGGTGTTGTCCTTTTTTGTTCTTGCCTTTCCTATGTTGTCCTGTCATACGGCTGTCTTAAAAATGTAATGTTACAGTTGCTGATCCAGAAAAATGTAAGGAAAAGTGGAGGGATTTAACATACTTAAAGAGTTTGCTGGTTTTGTTTGGAAGTGGGGTATTTACTTGCAGTTACCTTCCGCACACATGGTGCTGACTATTGCACTGCTCATGCTTGTATCAGCTTCGTACATTAATTCCATGTGAACAATTCTTTTCTTTTTTTCGTTTGGTTGGTTGGTTTTTGTTTCTCCTCTAGGAGAAACACATGAGCAGCTCAGATGTTAACACACTGACAAGACAAAAAGAGCTTCTGCTCCAGAAATTGAGCACCTTTGAAGAAACCAACCGGACACTACGAGAACTTCTCAGAGAGCAGCATAACCGGGAGGTGAGCAGTGCTTGAACTTGGCTGATCGCAGAAGGCTATGTTGTCTTGTGGACTGAAACAGAGTTTGAGAGAGATTTTAACTCCTCTTCCCCCCCCTCCCCCCAACCCTGATGTTGACCCTGTGTCACAAAGGATGGATAATTTTCTTTTTTTTTTTTTTTTTAATCCCTGCCTACGCCATAGAGTAAGACTGACTTTTCTGCTGCGAGGATGTTAAAGCATCCAAGTCTTTGTATTAAAAGGTGCAGACACTACTCTGTTGCCAGCTCTTTCTCATCTAGATAGAGCTGTATCTGCTGATCATGCTAGTCTGGAATGTTACCGCTACAGTTGCCTTGGCTGAAGTCTGAGGACTAGATGTGGCCTTAGCTAATGGGAGCCCAAGGATGTTCAGAACTTTATTTTTGTAGGCTGTAAGAGTGATAACAGAGAAATTGTAAGCAATTCTGTGCTGGTTGTAAGAGCAATACAGAAATGAAATTGCTGTTCCTCCTGTAGTTTATATTCCATTTGAGCAAAAGCAGGCTGATGGTAACAGTTCTTTCAGCCACCAGTAAGACTGGATAAAAGGACTGAGTTCTTCCACGTGACTTCCCCTGAGTAGCGGGAGAGTTCGGAAAGACCTTAAATTACCATCATGCTTTTTATTACAATCTTTGACTGAGAAGCGTAAAAGCTTTCTGAGATGGGTGATGACGTGAAATATTCAGCAAATTTGATGCTTCTAGGTATCTTCTGAGAATTGCTGCTGCACCTGGGAAGAAATGGTTGATTTGCCCAGTTCCATTTAAAGAATCTATATAAAATTGACTTTTTAGTTAACAATTTTTCTCACATATTTATTTTGTAGAAGGACGCTCAGAAGATACTGGAGCGGCAAGGAGCACTGCTGAAAAGGCTGGCTGACTCAGATGCAGAGAAAATGGTAAGCAAACCACAATCTCTCTTTTTTTTTTTTCCTTTTTTTTTCCCCCCTTTCTTTTTTTTTAATGATAAAGCAGAGAGATCTCAAATGACAAGCTCTTCTTTGTCTTGTATTCAGCCATCAAGTCTTACACTAATGCCTTTTAGACCAATAAAAATATTTTGCCTCTTGTGGTAATCAGAGCCACTACATTGCTCTTCTGGTTAACAGCCTGCATTGCAAAGTGGGTGGATTTTCATGGCTTTGAAATATGGGGGCTTAGAATGGGGATAGCACAACTGAGACCTACATATAAGAGCACCGTTAGGATTTACAGTGTTCAGCTATAAAGGAGAACTTAAGCCTGTTCTTACTATGTTTAAGCACAAATGATTCTGCTTACCTTTTCTTATGGTACAGAATGTACAAAGCAAGAATTCTACTACGTGTTTCTTTAAAAAGAAAACTCTGAGGGTGAGAGAGAAAAAAAATCTACTGCCAAAATACCACTGGTGGTCAGAATAGAATTCTTCAGTTTGGAAATCATCTTATATGTTTCTATATGTTTATCATGTTATCCTTAGAGACAGAAAAGCACAAAGAGCATAAGCTTTCTGTATCTGCTTCTGTCACTGAATGAGTGAGCGACCTGGTGCTAGTTTTTGTTCATTTCCTTATCTGTAAACTGAGAAAAGAGTTCTTACATTGCCAGAATTTATAAAACTTGCTGTGAGAGATAGATAAGGCCTTTTTTTTGTCTGTGGAGTATATAGTCCTGTCAGGTCCTCGTTCTTGACTGGGTATCCTATGCCCTGTTACACAAATGTATGTGTATTCCTTTTGCTTTCTGCTTGAGGAGAATGCAGGCTGTTTTTCCAGGGCTGAGGATGCTGTTGCTGTGGATACCAGAGTGCTGTGGATCAGAGAGTCTCGGGAGGGAGGCGGTTACACCTCTTTCCTTCCACCTGCCAACCTAAATATGTTTGTTACTTAACATGAGTGGTGTTTGTTTTCCCAGCAACTTCAGATGAGGCTTCAGGAGAAAGAAGAAGAAGTGGACAATCTTACTGTTCAGATACAGGCAGAAAAGGTAGTTTCCCTTTTCTGTTTTCCCCTCCCTGCTGCATCTTCCAGTTCTGTAGAACCACAGATAGTCCAAAATATGGGTTTGTACTTGCAGATGATTACTTTTTAAGGGATCAGATGACGGGCTTGCTTATAAAAAGTAGACAGACAGCTACCTATTCCCACGCAGTTGTAGATTCAATTTTCTGCTAGTGAAACATCCATCACAAAGATGGATAGGTAGTATTCTCTTTGCTTGGGCTTATCACTGAGTTGCCTTTCTGTTTAAGGTCCTGTTGATTGCTGATGTCAAATTCCAGTCTGTTCCTCTGTTTAGGAAGTAAAAAAGGAATGTAGTGGAAGAGATCAGATATGAAGGATGTTTTGCCCTAGAACAAATCTTTCAGGCCAGTCATTCACATCTGATGTAAAATAAATGGCTACTCATTTGTTGCCCATTTTGTTGGAGTAGAGGAGCTGTGAGGGTCCACCTGAGGAAAGTGGAGGTGCCTGGAGATAATATCAGATTTCTTCACTGAATGGTTATGTATTAGAAAGCGTTCCTTCTATTAGCTTATTGAGGAAAAAGGCGTGGGTCTTGTTTGCTCCCTATTTAGGACCAGGCAAAGACAGCGTGCGAACTTTCCAAATCTATGGAGGCTGTGAGAGGCCATTTACAAGCACAGCTGCGAAATAAAGAAGCTGAGAACAACCGCCTGAGCATACAGATACGGGTATGTTTTCAGTGGTGCCTGGGGATCATGTCTTCATTTGCTCTCGTGAACTGAATTGACTGACAAGGGAAGTAGCACTCACCAACTGTTCTTCAGCCGTGTCTGGTAGCCTGAAATATTGGCTGGTGATGTTTATACCACTAACACGCACCATACTTTTCAAATGAAGTAAGAAAGGGAAGAGCTTTTCATTTCTGATGTATGAAGCAAAATCAGAGCCTTAAGGTCTATGTGCATTTATTAATTTTTTTTTTTCCTAAGTTAATTACTACATAATTATTTAAAAAATGGCTTTGGTTTAGTCAAGCATCAAGACAGATCATAAACTATTTAATGTGCTTTCTGGGAAAAATGCTGTGTCATATGTTCCTGTATTTGATTGCACTCATGCATGCTCTCTACAGTATTAATGAGGAGGAGAAAGTTCCCTTGGTTTATCTTGATGAAAGTCTTATGTTTACTGTATCTGTTGATGTTGTGATGATGTTACGATGAACATATATGGTTTAGAGGGGCTTTAATTCTGTTAAGGTGTATGGCTGCATAAAGCAACATTATTATATGTGAGCATTTCAATTAATAAAGAGAATGTTCTTGGGTAGATCAAAAGACTGATAGACCAGTATTTATCTTGGTCAGGAGACGAAATCAGTATTCTAGAGAGCAGCTTATGAAAGAAGAAAATAAGACCTTTGGAAGGAAAGGAAGACATGTCATGCTGACATGTCTGTCAGCATTAGGACAGGATTGTGTAGGTGAAATGCGATTGCAAGTACCTCCAGGCTGGAGCTTGGGGGTTTATGCCCAGCTCTCTCCACTGTTTCTACGAAATTAGTTGCTGCTTTGGGTATGCAGGTACAAGGACATTATTCCATGTGGTGTATTTTCTCCCGCCCCCTGCAGAATCTGGAGCGTAGTGAAGCTCAGCATAAGGCAGAGGTGGAACACATCATGGAACAATTGAAAGAACTAAAGCAGAAGGCAGACCGTGATAAAGAAGCCCTGAAGAAAGCCATCCGTGCACAGAAAGAGCGGGCAGAGCGGAGTGAAGAGTATGCAGAGCAATTGACTGCCCAGCTAGCAGAAAAGGTACCTGATAATACAGGAGGAGAGACCTCATTTCAGATCATGCATCTAAATCTTTGATTTCTGGTAGCAGCCCTGGGGAGAGTCTCTGCTTTCAACTAATGAGATTTATTTCTGTCTTGATGCCTTGGCCCATTTATGTTAAGTTTAGAACAAATCCAGTTTTCTCAACTGTCACTATATTCGCTGCATGTCCTTAACTTAGGACATGCAGTAACTTAGATCATACTGAACTAGCAGATCTGATTTTTTGCCTCGTTCTTCAGAACCATCTGAGGGTTGACAAAAGCCAGTGAAATAAAGCCTGGTAGTTTTGGCTGAAAATTCTGAATGGAGTTGGTGGTTAATCGAGAAACTAGTCAGAGCAGAAAAGTATAAAGACTTAGAGGTGTACTGGAATTTCCTGTTGAAAATGACTGAAGGATATCAAGAAAAAGTGGAAAAGTTAGGACTAAAACAAGTCAGAAGGGAGCATGGATTTCACACTACTTGGTTGGTTTTTTTTCTCCGTTGTTTTTAGAATTCCAGGGACCAGAGTCACTGGTAGAATCTTAGCCATGCTTTGCGTTTGTGATAGTTCATCTGCCTTCAAAGAGTTTTGCTGCTGTTATGTCTGTTGGCTGACAGTAGTGTTGGACAACACCTCTCTCTGAAGGATCAGGAAGAATAAAAATAAATACTTGTCCTCAATATTTTAAAAGTCTTGGCGAAGCCTCTGCACCTATCATGCTTACCCATATCAGTATCTCTGCGTCTGCATACCCTGTGTCCAGTGACGTTTTTGTTACCCTTGCTCTTTTCCTCATGTATTTCTGTTGTCTGATAGGACAGCTATGTTGCTGAGGCGCTGTCTACTCTGGAGTCCTGGAGGAGTCGCTACAACAAAGTCGTAAAGGACAAGAGCGACCTCGAACTGGAAATTGTTACGCTGAACAGGTTAAAATAAAATTAGTGTGGAGAAACAAGCGTGAGAGGGGATGAGTTCTAAGTTCACGGATAATTTAATTGAATTTAACTGAATAATTTCATTAAATTGAATAATTTAATTGAATTGCTTGTAAATATCCAAGCAAAACCAGCACTGCCTAAGGGTTAGAGCAGAGTTTGAAGAGACTGAGAGGGAGAGAGATGTGGCTTCTGCTGCTGACTTGCCACAGCAAAGGCAGGCTTTTTAAGGGTTTGCTGACCCTTAAAACTCTCTGTTCCTTTGCCATTTTGTAACACTTTGAAAGAATTAAGGTTATCTTTCTTTTGAGATCTGTTTAAGATGCTTGAATGGAAGGGATTGGAAGAGATAGGCAGTATAGTTTGTGCCAATTTTGTTTTGAAGCTAAATAAATGTGTTGGTATCACTGCAGTACAGTTACTTCTGCAGGAAAAAATAGCTAGGTACGAGATGAGAGAAGTTCCTCTTTATCCTGTGTATCTTGGAGGCAATGTATTTGAGCTCCACGGGGATAACTCAAGTTACAGCAGGCTAAGACGACTGAGGTAGTAGAACAGTGTTACAGATAGGTGTGCATACATGACTGGAGGAGGAAGATGAAAGGATAGGGAAAAGTCATGTTTGTGAAGCAATTTTCAAGGGTTAGGAGGTTTATTCTTTCTTGTCACTTAAAGATTAATTTTCTTTCTGTATGGCAGCCGTGTTGCAGACTTGCTGGAACAGCAGACAACCCTGGAGGACAAGATGCGGGAGGACAGAGAAGCTTTGGTGGATAAATTGCATCGACAGACTACAGAGGTCACTTCTTTCAAAATGGAGAATGAAAGGCTAAAGGTCAGTTATTCTAGGGGTTTGAAGCTGAAATGCTAGGGAAAAAAAGGAGAAATTATAACAAGCTGCTTAGCCTCTGAGGACAGAGTTGAATTGCACCCATTGCTGCCACAGGTATGATAGGGCAATCCACTGAAGGCTGGAAAGTTTTGCCAGCTTACACTGACAAAAGCCTTTTATCTTAGTGTAGACAATGTTAGACAGCTAGCGTGGCAGTTACTTCCAAGGGCTCAATAGAAGATGTTTTCTTTTTTCAGGCTAGCGTGGTCCCAATGGAGGAAAAGCTGAACCAAACGCAGATGGAAGTGCAGCAGCTGAGGAGCTCTGTCAGGAACTATGAAGGGCTGATTGAAACCTACAAGTCACAGGTAGGCATCTTACCAAAACCTTTAGCCCTTGCGCGATCATATTTTCTCCCTTCATTGTTGTGGCTTATTCTGTAATGCCTTAACGCTTTGCTTGCTCTTGGAGGATTTTGCAGTGTCATATGGTTTTGGTTCTTTTGTCTCTATTAGCCTTACTTTTTCTCAGATGGCAGCATCCAGACTGCCACGTGCTATATGCCAAAGTGTGGGAGACTTGCCTTCCTCGCTGTGTGCTGATAACTTGGTCATTAGGAAGAGCTGACTCCCACAGCAGAGATCTTGGTTAATGGAAAACAAAAGACTGATTTTAATTATTTCACTTTTTCCTGCTCCTTTTCAAAAGGTAAAGGAAAATAGTGAGATGCTTTCTTCTGCCTTTCGGCAGGTACTGTTCCTTGGCTGCTTTTTGGGGGGGATTTTGGATATTGTGGTAGTCGGAGGATAAGGCAAGAGGGGAGAACGTTTGGTGGAAAGCCCAGATGATCCAGGTGGCAGAAGTAGAAAGTGAACTTCCAAATACAGTCCTGGAGTGGTGGTTAGTGTGGCAAGAAACTTGTTGCTGATCCTTGAGCAGTTTTAGTTACTCCAAAGCATTGCACATTTCTTGAAAACTGTATATAACAGATAAAGTATGTGGGTTTTTTTGAATGTCCAGGTGTTGAAGACCCGAATGGAAGCAGATGATGTGGCAGCAAAACTGGAGAAGTGTGATAAAGAGAACAAGATGCTAAAGGATGAAATGAACAAGGAGATTGAACTGGTAACTGTTCCTCTAAAGACTGATGTGTTGTAGACAGCCGTGGATCTTAATGTTCTGAATGTAGTGAAAAATAGCTGTGAACAGGAAATAAAAGGCTTATCTTGAGTTTACCTTTTCCGTTAGTTTTTCTCAGGACTTGTTCATTCTGCAAAATTTATTGAGCATTTAGCAGCTTCTTTTTGACTATATGGTGTTCTTCAGAGGTGTTTAAATTGCTTAGTGTGTCCTTTGCTGCAGAAACAGTGGTTTAGAACAGTGGACTGGGTAGGTTTACACCACTGTCTGATGTGGAACAGCTGTCCTCAAAAAAGAACTTGTACTTCTAGTAGAATTAAAGCCCAGCATCCAAAATACTCACTCATTCTCACTCCATCCATAGGGAATGCCAGATCCTAAGAGAATGCCTTTTGGAGTAGAAGATGACCTTAGGCTTTGAACTCCAACACTGGCCAAATATTCACACAGTTTTATCATGGTTGCAGACTAACAAAGCTTCACTGAAGTTGAGAAATGTTTTGGTCTTGACCTTGTAAACATTTGAAAGTTTTTCATGTTCTCTTCTTTGATTATAGGCACGTAAGCAGTTCCAGAGCCAGCTTGCTGAACTGGAAAAGCTGCCCGAGATCCTAAAGATCACAGAGACACAGCTAGCAGAATGTCAGGACCAGCTTCAGAGTTATGAGAAGAAGAACGTGGACCTGTCTGTCATGATTGCAGATCTTCGTCAGCGGGTAAGGGACTGGCAGAAACTACCTGCAGCTCTGCAATCCGCAAGTCTGAGACCAAGATGAATTTCTAATCACAGGAAGGTTCAAACTTCGTCTCTGTTCTCGTCTCTTTTTGAAAAGATTAAACGTGGGCTGCAAAATAAAGGTGTGTGCCATGTCTTTGTGCAAGAAGTCAGCGGCGTAGCTAGTAGCATTCCTTACTGTTTGAAAGGTTTCTCATCTCTTGGTGCAGAACCTTATTGGGACTTGAATAGCAGCAGTGACACTTGCTAATGCCCACATTTGCTTGTGTTACTTCCATCATCTTTTCAGCTTTCCCTCCTGTGGTTTTCTGCTGATAGTGCTGTCCCAACCTTGTTTTCTCACCCTGATTTCAGGTTGTTTTCCCAGTCCCTGTTTTTTGTCCCCAGGAGGACTGCGTAGGTATTGCAGGACAATTACAGACAGCCATGACTTCCACAACCGTGCCTCAGGGCACAGCAAATGATCTCGCAGTCTGACTGCTTTACTCTGCTTGGCTTGGAATTATAAACCTTCCTGGTATTTCAGGCTTTAATGCCTTTGTGGGCTGCTGTCACGTCTATGGCTGCTTTTAATGTGTGTGTGCTTCGCTGTGCTTACAGGTGGCTGCTCTGCATGCAAGTGTTTACGGACCCGGCTTTTCATTTGGAATACAAAAGTATTTTCTCATACCTTTCCAAACATGAATTGGAAGCACCGGCAAAATGGATGTTTGGTGCTTTGCTTTTCTGTCCACTGTTCCTTTTCTGGGGCTTCCAGAAATTATGAATTGAGCATGTTTCCTTCTGGAGAGTTGCGTACATTTTAGGTGGTTGGTCGTCTGTGTGTAGTGACTACTCTGCAAAGTAATTACTTACTGTAATTTTTAGATTGAGCTCCAGGGGGACAAAATGGAGATGACAAGAGAGAGGTATCAGTCGGCCCAGGAGGAGAAAAAGCAGCTCACCTTGAAGGTGGAGGAGCTAGAAAGGTTAGAAATACTAGGCTCTCTTGCTCTCTTAACCTTCCATTTCCATCCTCTTCCCATTGTTTTTTCAGGGGATTGAAACAGCTTCAGTCTTTTTGCAGTCCCCCACGTGCCTCCAGTATTCTGTGCATTTGCTTATCCCACAAGGATCTCTAACCAGTAGCTGTCCACTGGAGAGAGAGTTATAGGTTTTTGCAACACCTTTTATGAATGTTGTTAGAAAGGATGATGGCTTACGCAGCAGATAACCAGCTCCCTGTCCAATCTAGCCCGACAGTTTTGAGGTTACTACATATTACAATATTTTTGCCCATGTTTATAAACTCCTTTTAGTGACAACGTTTGGGAAAATGCAGGTATGTGGCTACTCTGTATGTCCTTCAATCTTTGAGATTTTGATTTGAGAAACGGAGAAGTGTTTCCTGGGGCTCTCACCTTTCAAGGAGGAATAGAATCTATTCCCAGACTAGTCAGGACATGGCAAAAAGGCAGACTGAAACACGCTTCATTTAAAATAAATAGGTTTCCTTCCCTTATTGTCTTAACCTAGAAAACTAGAGACAACGAGTGCCCAGAACATAGAATTCCTTCAGGTCATAGCAAAACGCGAGGAGTCAATCCACCAGTGTCAGCTGCGGTTAGAGGAGAAGACCCGTGAATGTAGCTCCTTGGCACGTCAGCTGGAGATGGCCATTGAGGATGCCAAAAGACAAGTAAGTAATTTCTCGTGTTTGTGAATTTTCCCAAAACTACCCAGACTGTAAAAAGGGAACAGCAAGAATGCTGGAAATACCTCCTCAGCCTATGACCAAATTAATGAAAATGGTCATGTTCAGTGAAACAGAAATAATAAAATGTGCTGGTACTGTTTGTCAGCACTTAAACCATTGAAAAACTGAACCCCGTGCTCCAGTTTGCAACAGAAGAGAGGAAAGCACGAGACTGAGCTGCCTGCTTATGTATGAGAATGTGTCCAGTTAAACTTCACAGGGCTTTTGTGGGCAATGGGGTAGGGAAAAATCATTCTTCCATAGACAACCCTTTAACAAAGTTGTTCTGTTGTTACACGTAGGTGGAACAAACTCGAGAACGAGCGACATCTAGAGAGAGGGCAGCCCAGTCCAAGGTGTTGGATTTGGAGACCCAGCTGAGTAGGAATAAATCAGAGCTAAACCAATTGCGTCGGAGCAAAGACGATGTGAGTGACTTGCGAGGCGTACTCTTGCTGTGCTGGTGGTGTCCTGGCAGCAGCCAGAGTCCGTAAACCGGGGTCCCATGGATTGCTGCAAAAGTCATGCAGAGCTGTGTCTGAATGGGACGTCCGTGACAGATGCGTGATATGACGTGTCTGTTAGGTCACTAGTTCAGGAATGCAGACTCTCATTTGCTTCTTACTTATAGCAATGATCTGAATGAACTTGCTCTAAACTTAGGTGTGTAAGAAAAGAATCAGACCTTTCTTACGTTCAAATGAGATTTGCAGCGGATACCATGGACAGGTTTCAACTTCATTTACTGTGCTTAGTTATCTGAGAGAGAATGCAATTCCTCTTCTAGAGGAAAGGATTTCTTCTGTAAGAAAGAAGGGGAATCTTTCATAATGTCCTATTTACGCTGCTTGTTTACTTGAGTTTTACTTGGAATTGGGGTGGCACATGGATCAGGTCAAGTTGCTTTTCAGAAAAGAGTGTGTTTCCCGTAACTATAGCTTATCAGTTTTAAAAGCCCAACTGATTAGTTGTGTTGTCTCCTGCTTCTATCAGTGGGTTGCTGAATGGAGTTGGAAATGAGCAGAACAAATTACAAGTATCATAGCACCATCTATGGTAACGTCATCGGCTGTGGTGCTAATTCTTGCTGTCCTCAGCGCTTTTGGGGAACAGTTTAAGTTTAACATGAATAGGATGAACGTTGCTGTCTTTCAGCCTGTGTTTTGTGCTTCTTTATGTAGGCCGAGCGCCGGTATGAAAGCCGCCTGCAGGATCTAAAGGATCGTTTGGAGCAGTCGGAGAGCACCAACCGCAGCATGCAAAACTACGTCCAGTTCCTCAAGTCTTCCTATGCCAACGTTTTTGGAGAAAGTGCCTTGCTGGGCTCCCCCAGCCGCTCTCGTTCTTCTCCATGAGGAGAATGCTCTCCCTGCACCTCTGCTTCTAAGCACAAAAGCAGCCCTATTTCAAAGCCATATGTTACTTAGGAAATAGGTTGGCATTTCAGGGTCACTATCAGGAGACGTTTTCCTCTTTTCCTTGCAGCATGAGACGATAAAATGATGGTGGTGCATGTCCTAAGTGTAGGGTATCAGCAGTACCGGTTTGGTGTTGGAGGCTGGCGTTACACCATAAACTGTGCCCCAAACCCAGATGGTTTTGCATATGATGGATAAGGTCCTTCTCATCCTCTAAGGTCCTGATGGTTTCAGCTCTTAAAACCTGTCAGCGGTTTGTTGAGCATGTTAATGTTTATAAGAGCTCTTTTCCTTTTCATATTTCTTTTTAAATCCTTTTCCTTTGTTGGGGAGATCATGTGGGTTGTTTTGTTTGTGGGGGTTTTTTGTATTTTTTTTAAACTACTGAACATTGTATTGATACGTTGGAGGATAGGGTGGTGGGAGAGGGTCCACCCGCCAGAAGCGTGGAGCTGAAAATAACTTAAGTGCCTGGGCTCCACACTTACAAGAGATTATCTCCTGAACAACCACAGTGTTCATTAACAGTTTTATACCAGAAATAATGATTTTTTTTTCTTGATTCTTTTATACTCTCTGATCCTCACCTTTTTTCCTGAGTGTGATGCTTATGTTGCTTTGCTCCTCTCACCCTGGTTTGCTGATCCTGAATATCCCCAGGACTGAGCCAAAACCATCTGAATTCAAAGGAAAGACGGCGGTTTAACCTCAGTGGCGCTTCAGTCGGGGTCTTGGTGTGAGTGCCACGCGAGTTCAGGGTGTGCATGAAATACTGACTTGCTCTTAAGTCAATTAAAGAGCAGCTACGGATACTCAGCTGCTTAATCGAACCAGCCTGCGTGTTCTGGAAAATCAGGTCTTCAGTGTGTCGAGTCCCTAAAACTCGTGTGCTCTCTAGTGCCCTGTTCTTTCCAGTAAATGGTTCTTATGGGGGCAAAAATAAACACTGTTTTTATTTTTATCTCTTTGGTATCCTATTTATGTGTGATGTGGTCATTGGGCAGTATTTGTCATAAAGGTTTTCTAAGTTAATAATTTTTTGAGAGTTCTGTAATTGTGTGTGTGTTTAACACTCTAAAAATCCTAAAGGTGCTATGGTAAAACAAACAATAAACTACATTTTAATTGGTTATGTGGGGGATTTCCTCTTCGTTGTGCTGTCTCTAGAGCCTTCTGGCCCGAATTTTGGGAAAGCAGCCGCAGGCAGGGCTGTTGGTGCCGGCAGCTGCGCGCCAGCCCCTGGCCGCGCTCTCGGGATGGTGGCCTCTGCCCACCCTGCAACCCGGGGTCGGTGCTGCGGCGCAGGCTGCCCTGCAGCCCGCCGTCCGTCCCTCCCGGGGCTCCTCCGCGAGAAGACACAAAATAAGGGGAAAAGCGGCGGAGCTGCCGGTGTTTCCCGGCCGTGCCCCGTTCCTCGCCGGGGGGCGGGCGCCCCCCCGCGCGCGCCGGGGGCCGGCGCCCGCCTTTATCGCCCGCGCCGCAGAGGGCGGGAAGCGGCCGGCGGCGCCCCGCGCGGCTCCTCCGCGAGAAGACACAAAATAAGGGGAAAAGCGGCGGAGCTGCCGGTGTTTCCCGGCCGTGCCCCGTTCCTCGCCCCAGGCGCTCGCTCCCGGCGGGCGGCTGGGAGCCCCCGGGCCGCCGCCGCCGCTCCCGCTTTGCTCACAGGGGGTCTGTGTGTCCTGTGGGCGGCTGAGGCGGGGAGGAATCTGTGAGGAGGAGGAGGTGGTGGTGTTACAGGAGAGGGTTCAAACGTGGCCGTCCTGCTGCCCTGCAAAAGTAGGGGAGCCTGGAAAAAATGTTGAAAAGACAGCAGAAGAAATGGGTGAATGGGGTGCTGAGCCGCGGTTATAAAGCAGGTGCTGCCCTGTGCACGTTTCCGGTGTGCGTTTGTTAACGTTTTGTTGCTATCTTGATACGTTTCACGTTTACAGAAAACGCTTTCTCTCTAGGATATCTTGGAAGGCTGCATGTCTCCTCTTGTGCTGTCCCCGTACTCTGGCTGGGTCCTGGACAGAGTGGTTGGGCAATCAGCCCCAGAAACCGCACCCTCCAGAAGTTCAACGCCTAAAGAATCCGCTCTCCTCACAAACCAGTCATCTTCTGTGGAGAAGGTCGCGTCTGCTAGCCGCCAGGGCTCTTCGCCACCTTCATCTACAGAGCCCAGTGAAGCAAAGGTAGCTCTCTGGTTGTAACCCGTGTGTGAGCAGCCGTGAGAGAAAAATGTGCTAACTTGCTGCCATAAATTGTCTGATAAAGGTTGGTTTGTGCTCTTTTAAGTTGTTTCCACTTTTTGTGGGATAAACAGGCAATGATAAAATTGGTATGAACAAGATTTTTCATAGAATAATGTTTCATAGTCGGCCAAAAGCAAACTCTCTTTGTCACCGTAACTAAGGAAAACTGAGTGGGAGCTGTATAGGTACGTGGATTAGTAGCACGGGATTCCTCCATTTGGAGGGATAAGGCCGCAGAGTAGGATCAGGCCTGTCGTAAGAGTCCGTGAGTGACCCCTGCGGGTTCTCTGGTGTCTTTGAATGACTTAGGTGTGTTGCGGCTCCTTTTACAAGGCAAAAGGGTAGGAAGCTGGGCAGTGAGCAGTGGAGTTGCGGAGGTAATGAAGTCGATGAAGCACCTGAAAAGAAAACAAATGTCTGTCGCTGTGCATTAAATGATGACTTCACCACGTAACAATGATACTGAGCAGCAAAGTTTTGCATTGCCTTGGCCCCACTTAGACTTAAGAAATATATTGTGAGGAAAGCATCTTAATGAAGCAGCAAGATCTGATAAACGTTTTAAGGGAGACTCTGAAGACTCCTCCTGAAGAATGATTCAAAGTATAAACCTGTTTTGACTTCTTCCAGCGGAACATCTTTACTGAATGTAAAAAGAACGTGGGGAGTCTGTCTCGCCTTTCTAGGCGACAGTTAGCCTTCCCGAATGTCCTACAGGCTCTTGGTATCTCTGCTCCCAATTTTAGTGATTGGGAAAAGTAATTATCGCAATCTATGTACATGCTGGAGGATACTCAAAGTGGTGAGGCTATGGTACCGGGGTGGATAACTACTCTAAAAAGTTGTGTGTTGGTTGACTCCTTTGTTTCTCTAGAAATAACGTGCAGTTTAGGAGACTTGATTTACCTGGTTTCCTCCGTGAGTTGCTGATACTGTATTCAGTCACTGATTTTGCTTATACGCTGACCACGCAGGGAAATGAAGATCTTAGTCTGCTGGAAATGGATCAAGAAGTCATTCCAGCAGTTCTGCCATCTAAAGTTACAGAAGTTGAAGGCTGCATTTGGATGTATGAAGAGATGCACAGGTTGAAAGGAAAGGTAAAAAAAAAAAAAACCAAGCCCAAAAAGACTTGCGGGTGTATGTGAGTCGCAGGAGAGCTACATAACCAGATGTAACAGTGCTCTGGTACAAGTAGCAGGACAGTAAGTTATCCTAAACCTTGGAGAGTAAGGTTTGGGCTAACCCCAAGGAGACCATGTTGGCTCATTTTGGGCAATTTAATTTGTATTTTCTTCTGTCCAAATTCTGGTGATTGCTACATTGTGGTGCTTCTGGCACCTCTGCAATCTGCAGGAGGGGCTCAGGCAACGGCAGGAGCAGCAAGAGCAGATGGTGAGGGCGGTGTACGACCTGGCAAGTGAACAACTGAAGCGCTTTGATGAACTGAAGGAGCTAAAGCAGCATCAGGAATTCCAAGATTTGCGAGAAGTAATGGAGAAGAGGTGAGATTAGCTCTGATATTTGATATCCTTAAAATATTATAGCGTTTAATCAAAGTGAGGATTAATTCTTGTTCCTGATAATTATATACTATTCAGTCACTTGTGCTTGATAATCTCACCTGCTGCTTTTCTTAGGTTAACTCTCCTGTTATTGTTTGCCTTTCAGTGGTTAGAAAAAGACTATATTTGTGAGAGTTAAAGTTTCTTTAGCTCGGCTTATTTTAAAATTAACTTGCTGTGTGTTTGTATTTTGTCTCGTGCGTGTCCTGAATACAGTTTTTCTGTCTTTATGTGTGTTGTAGCTCAAAGGAGGCTCAGGGACAGCAAGAGAAGTTGAAGGAAGAACACCGACACAGAGCGAAGGTCTGAGACTTGCAAGAGTTGACTTTGATAAAAGACCGTGACTACTGGGTGGGAACTGGAAAGACCAATTGCTTTATTTGTATTTACATGGCACCCCTGGAGTGAGAATGTATTTTCTGGTGCTGTCCTAGACACCTGCTGCATTGTGGAAATGCAGGAAAGGAGCATGTGCTGTAGGAGCAGGAAGGACCTGCGAAGCTGGAGTCATCAGGCCAGGGAGGACCTGGAAGGCTGGAGTTATTTAAGTATTTTGTGTCTCTTGTGTCTTTTTCTCCTCAGATATTAAACCTAAAACTGCGCGAGGCAGAGCAGCAGAGGCAGCGTCAGGAAGAGCTGGAGCGTTTGCGTAAGGAAGAGGGCCAGGAAAGATTGCGTCGCCTTTATTCTATCCAGGAGGAAGTGCTTCAGCTTAACCAGCAGATCGATCCCAATTATAGACACAAAGATTTGCCAAGAATTGATCTTTCCGCATACAGTAATCGTGGCAACCAGATCTGTGGGCTGGTGTCAGGACTCATCCGCACCACAAGTGAGGTAGAGGTTCTAGAGTTGTTCTTAACTGTGGTTGTCGTTCCTTTGTAAAGCTTCCTGTAGTTGTCTTCGAAGGCAGCTTGTTACAAGGACGTTAAATAAGATGTCACAGAAATGTTTTTAGATATTCGTCCTATAAAGCATCTAATTTAAAAGGAGAATTCTTTTCTACGGCACTTTAGCTGTTCTTTTGAAAACGGCTTATAAAAATGCATGAGCGTTTCTACAGGAGAAAGATGCAATATCAAAATACTGTAAACTCTTGATGTTGTGAAGTTCTTTGTGAGGCAACCATGGAAGCGGAACGGGTCATAAATTGTTAAATACTGAACACATTATGATTCTCCTATACTTGTAAGCCTTTTTGCAGTCAGTAGGTTTCCTTGAAAATTTTTTTCTTTGTGTAAAGGTGGGATACAAACCTTGAAAAATAAAACACTTTAATAAGGCTAATTCTCTGTTCCAGCTCGTCAGAGCTGGCTTTCTGCAGAGGAAGCTGTCTAGCCTTTGCCTTGGGCTTCCCTTATGCTTGTCAGAGTGTGTTGTTAATTTTTGTTGTCCAAGTTCTTGTGAGATCTAGTCATGGACTGACATTATTTACAAATGTCATGACCAATGGCAAGCACAAATAAAGGCGAAAAACATATTTTCACCAAAGAAGATAAAATGTAGTTGGCTCCCAGATTATCTGAAGGCTAATGCTTCAAA